GGGCAGTTTGGAGATGTCGTCGGATGGGGAACCCCTGAGCCGCATGGACTCGGAGGACAGGTAAGTGCCCTGAAGCTTCCTCCTTGCCTTCCTTCCTCTTGAACTCCTGGGCCGGGGGACTTTTCGCCGAGATCCCCCCTGCTCCCCGAATCCCCGGCCCCTCCCCCAGGCTCTCAACTCGGAAATCTCTCCCGGCCGCCCCGCCCCTCTCGCTGCGGATAGCGGCTTCAAACTCTCAAACCCTTTTCCCCCCAACTCTGCTCTCCGCGCCCTCTTTCCCCTTGGCTCTGCGCTCCGTACCGCCCTAAGGACAGCTCTGACTCGGGAACAGCCCCCAGAGTAGGCCCAGACCCTCGGTCGGAGCCGAAGAGGCCCTTGATGTACACACCTCGGTACACAAGGTTAGCTTCCACCGTGTTCGCGAACACTTGTCAGAACTGTAATTGACAAGTGTTTTCCAACATGGCTGGTCTCGCCTGGATTTAACAGAACTTCCTTGTTCGGGGAGGAGACCCCAACTATCACTCCGCTCTCCTTAAAAAAGACAGGGCTGTTCTTTTGTATTTAATCGGTGCTTCCAAAATTTGCTCATGTGTAGTCGTTGAGTGTGGTCTCGAAGTGATTTAAATAGCTTCTGTTTGTTTTGTGATCAAATCTGGGAGAAAGTTGAAAACGAATAAGTCATTGTAGAAAGGAAAGATGAATTCGTGGCTTTTAAAATAACTGCGGAATCAAAGAGAGTTGGAATCGGAACAAAATACACTCTCGAAGGTACAACATAATGGTATGCGGTTTAATATCTTTATATAGTAATGCCTCAACGTGAGAGATGATTTTAGATAATAGTTCTTAAAGGCATGTATTGGAGAGATCTCTGAAGGGATTAGCATTTTCTGAAGTTCGTTGGAAGTAACATGGAGACTGACAGAAATGCGCTTCTTTTTTTTCGGGACATTAAAAAAGTTACTGCAATAGTGTGTTTTGATTGTTAGTACTATTTTTGACCTCTTTGGAAAGCATAATATTTTAACTAATTGGTTCTTGATGTACTTTTTAAAAACAAAACTACCTTATTCATATTATACTGCTTCTAAAGTATATCGGCATTTATTTTGACCATCTGCTAATGTTTGGCTGAGCAGTCTTTTTTTTTAGTAATCTGTATTGACTTGGATTTAAAAGTTTTAAGTATTCTAAAGATCTAGGGATTCTGATTGCTAATGGATAAAAATGAACACTTTGGCTTCTATTGAATGTGATAAGGAATACAAGGCCCTAAATATTTTGGAAATACAGTATTAGAATCTGTTTGACACTTTAATATCTAGTGAAAACATCTTGGATGGGGTAAAATAGACCGTAAAAACCTTAGAAAAATTGTGCTGAACTATATATGCATGGCAGGAAGGAGAATGTCTTTAAGAAAATTGAAAATTGATGTGATCTGCACAATGAAGCATGTGTTATTTATCATTTTATGATATCCTTCTTCATTGGTACCCGTAGATAATTGAAAGTTGATGTAGTTTCCACAGTTCTTCTGTTTAGTTACGTACACACACACTTGTTTAGCACTGCACAGTTCAAGTGTTGCAGTCATTTCATTCGCAGTGTGGTGCAAGATAGGCATTATTTTGACTTCCATTTAACAGATGAAGAAGCAAGTTGAGTGTCTTCCTAAAAACAGTAAGTATAGAATGGTAGTGGTGGAGCTGAACAAAGGTTAAAAGTCCCCTGCTATTTCCACTTCACGAGAGTAAGAATAATTCACCTTAAATAACAAGCTGTATGTGTCAGTTTTTATTGTTTGTTTTAGTTAATATCTGTCCACTGCATCCTTTTATTAGGAGACAATGAGTTATGAGTTAAGTAATATTTCAGGAAGTAGAGTGTTGGCTTCATATTTGTTGGATATTTACTTGAGTGTCTACTTTTTACAGAGTAAGAAGTAAGAAAGATATTGGTTCCACAAGTCCAAATAAGGTTAAAACTTGATAACTAAGTATACTTGCTTTTCTTAATGCTTAAGCATTTAGAGACTACAAAATATTGTAGTCATTTTACCATTTCAAGATAGATTTATCACTTGTTAAGAAAAAGCCTTACATTACTAGTGAAACTGGTTGTGGTCTTGATAATCTTAATTCTGAAATTCCCCGTGTTGCCAATGAGCTTTTTTTTAGTTATTTTAAATTTGGAAAAGATTCATAATTCTTCTAAACTGTCCTGCAGATTACACTAAACTGTGTGGATTTTATAGATTGATACCATGGTAGGAAGTCTTTATTTTTGTAACTGATGAAAGGATATTGTGGTTTTAAAGTGCTTTTTAAAAACTTGAGGCAATCCTATTGCAACGATTTTATCATTAGAATTTACTCTTGTTTCTATTAGGATGCTTGTTCAGTTTTTTTTCCTATCACTTTGAAATTAGATTGTTTCTTTGAGTTTAACATATGTTAGAATTTGTTGAAATATCTTAAATATTTTTAACTGTAAGAGCTTCTTCTTAAGAAAGAGTTAAATATAAAAACTTAGATCTTAAAGCTTGTGTTCCAAGGTGTCACTTTATAATGTGTTGGAAGTGACTAATTTATAAAAGGATTAAGTGACACTTGGTACAAAAAACATTGATTCTTTTCCCCAAGAGACAGTTATTCAAAACCAGTATAAATGTATTAGTGTGTTTATTTTAGTGAAGTTAGGAAACCTTAAAGTTGATAGGTAATTTACTTTTACTTTGGTTACAGAGATAATGGAATTTTCTTTGGGGGAATATATAGCTGTTCAGGAACACTAAAAGCTACTTTTTCTTTTACTTTGAATCTAAGCTTAAGTATTTTTTAAAAAGTTACCACCTTTTAAGTAAATTTCAGAGGCTAACAAATACACTTTTAGAATTTAAAATGCCTTAAATTATTTTTTAATTTACAAATTATTTCTAGCTATTAAATAAGATTATACTTATATGAAAGTACTCTTAGCTACTTATCCCACATAAGTGAATCAATAATAACAACTTCTCTTTTGTGGTTGGTTGT